CGGCTACTACTACCACTACGACAACTACTGCTCCAATAAAATACTAGCAACAACACTACCACGGCGGCTGTTACGACCAATGCCTACAACGACGACGACGACTACGACTACTACTGCTGCTACTGCTACTACCACTAAAAAAACCACCACCACCACCACCACCACCACCACCACTACTACTACTACTACTACTACTACTACCACTACTACTACTACTACCACTACTACTGGGATAGGGGTTAAAAAAAAAATTAAATAAGGATCAAAAAAAATTAAATAAGGATCAAAAAAAAATTAAATAAGGATCAAAAAAAATTAAACGGGTATCCGCGAAAGGAAGGGGAAAAAGGAAGGAAAGAAAGACGGAGAGAGAGAGAGAGAGAGAAGGAAAGAAAGAAAGAACGAACGAACTAAAGAAAGAAAGAAAGGAAGGAAGAAAGACAGAACGAAAGAAAGAACGAAATAAAGAAATAAAGAAACAACGAAAGAAATAAAGAAAGAACAAAAGAAAGAAAGAAAGCCATGCAAGAAAGAACGAGAGAGAGAACGAAAGAACGAAAGCAAAAACGAAAGAAAGAACGAAAGCAATAACGAAAGAAAAAACGAACCAAAGAAAGAACGAAATAAATCAAACCAGAAAGAAAGCAAGAAAGAAAGGAAGGGAGTATGAGATGAACAAAGAAAGAACAACAGAAAGAAAGAAAAGAAATGAACGAGCGAAAGACAGAAAGAAGTCCATACTAAAAAAGCAAAGTTGGAAAAGACGAAAGAGAAAGAATATAAAGAATCACAGAAACAAAGATACAAGCAACAGGATACTACATAGTCCAATCGAATTTTCCATAATATCGTAATGTACCGTAACATAGTATGTCATAATGTAACCTAATGTTATAAAATATACTACATATTATGTTGTAAATATACACACTGTATTGTACTATGTTACAATGTACTACACTATAAACTAAGATGTTGTTTTGTTCTATGTCATCTTCTGTTATATTGCATTGTTGTATTTTTAGTATGCTATTATATGCTATAAGAAGCAAGGTTCTGTTATGTCAGAAAATGTCACACCATTTTTTGTGTTGTCGAACCATCTTATGTCGTTCTTCTGGTTTACTATGTTATGTATATTAGGTTAGAATGCTAACGGAAGAAGAGACACGAACAGGCGCGGAAGAACAAAACACCCGCCGCCGCGCTTTTCGAGACGTGCAAGCTTGATTCAAAGAGTGTTTTCGAAGCCCATCATGTGAACGTTGTCTCTGCAAATGGGGGGGGCTGCGCCCCCCCCAACCCCCCCGCTGTTTTAAGCCGTGCAGGGTTGCTTTGAAGCATATGCCTTTTTTGAACCCCAGCAAATGAGGGCGTCTCCGCCCTTGTAGATACATGCTGAACCAGAATCGCCAAATGAGGGGCGTGTTTAAGATAGATGATGAAGCGGAATACCAGCAACAGCTACAACAGGAAATCCGTCCTAAATGTGAAATTGGAAGGAAAATTTGATTTTCCCGAGGACAACCATATGTTGTCCTTCTGAAAACCTGAAGAAATGACACGAACGCCATAGGTAATAGGAAATAGGTTTTTCCTACGAAAAATCAAGGAAAACGTAGGCACATTGCTGTATCTAAAGAGGACGAAAGAAAGGACAACAGAAAGAAAGAAAGATAGAACGAGAGAGAGAGCGAAAGAACGAAAGCGAAAACGAAAGAAAGAACGAACGCAAGAACGAAAGAAAGAACGAACCAAAGAAAGAACGAAATAAATCAAACCAGAAAGAAAGCAAGAAAGAAAGGAATGGAGTATGAGATGAACAAAGAAAGAACAACAGAAAGAAAGAAAAGAAATGAACGAGCGAAAAAAGAAAGTCCAGAATAAAAAAGCAAAGTTGGAGAAGATGAAAGAGAAAGAATATAAATAATCGCAGAAACAAAGATACAAGCAACAGGATACTACATAGTCCAATCGAATTTACCATAATATCGTAATGTACCGTAACATAGTATGTCATAATGTAACCTAATGTTATAAAATATACTACATATTATGTTGTAAATATACACACTGTATTGTACTATGTTACAATGTACTACACTATGAACTAAGATGTTGTTTTGTTCTATGTCATCTTCTGTTATATTGTATTGTTGTATTTTTAGTATGCTATTATATGCTATAAGAAGCAAGGTTCTGTTATGTCAGAAAATGTCACACCATTTTTGTGTTGTCGAACCATCTTATGTCGTTCTTCTGGTTTACTATGTTATATATATTCGGTTAGAATGCTAACGGAAGAAGAGACAAGAACAGGCACGGAAGAACAAAACACCCGCCGCCGCGCTTTTCGAGACGTGCAAGCTTGATTCAAAGAGTGTTTTCGAAGCCCATCATGTGAACGTTGTCTCTGCAAATGGGGGGGGCTGCGCCCCCCCCAATCCCCCCGCTGTTTTAAGCCGTGCAGGGTTGCTTTGAAGCATATGCCTTTTTTTGAACCCCAGCAAATGAGGGTGTCTCCGCCCTTGTAGATACATGCTGAACCAGAATCGCCAAATGAGAGGCGTGTTTAAGATAGATGATGAAGCGGAATACCAGCAACAGCTACAACAGGAAATCCGTCCTAAATGTGAAATTGGAAGGAAAATTTTGATTTTCCCGAGGAACAACCATATGTTGTCCTTCTGAAAACCTGAAGAAATGACACGAACGCCATAGGTAATAGGAAATAGGTTTTTCCTACGAAAAATCAAGGAAAACTTAGGGAAATACCACGGAATCCGCAGGAATATCGTGTTTTCCAGAGCAAAAACCAGACAGATCCTAAGGAAACACAAGAAAATCCGTAGGAAAACAGTGTTTTCCATTGGAAAAATTCAGGAATTGCTGTATTTTAAGTGATTTAATTTTTTTTTGATCCTTATTTTATTTTTTTTTGATGCCCCTGCCCCAGGAATTGCTGTATTTTGCGTGATTTATTTTTTTTGATCCTTATTTTAATTTTTTTTTGATCTTTCCATTTAATTTTTTTGATCCTTATTTAATTTTTTTTTGATCCCTCACCCACTACTACTACTTCTTCTGCTACTACTACTGCTGCTGCTACTGCTGCTACTACTGCTACTGCTGCTGCTACTGCTACTACGACGACGTTTACGAATTAAACACGACGACGGCTACTACTGTTTGTACTGCTACTGCTACGACTACTATGCTGATGCCGGTACTGCTGCCACCACTATACTAGAACAACGATGGCCATCTCTGTGAGAGGCTGCACCCTTCGACTTTGACAGCACCTAAAACACACGCATGCATTGACTATCACCTCAGGGCCAGATTGGTTTCAATCAGGTTTTTTTGTGGTCCGGGTGTAGTTGTGCCTGAAGCTGCCAGCAGTGTGTCCACATTCTCAGGTGTTTGGCTTGTTGCTGCAGTCATTGACCGTGCTACCCACGCACTGCAGCTGCGGCGATCAGCTTCTCAAGCGCATAATTATCGGTCCTAGTGATCACGCGGGATCAGATGAAGTCCCCCAGTGTTTCTCTGTGAGTGTCCAAAGTTTTTGTACGTTCTTGCTGCTCATGGAGCTCCTCGTGCTATGTGGATCATGTCCGAAAATTGTGCAGAGGTTCCTGCGCGTCACCTGGCGTGTAGACTTCACCGGAGATTTGGCCATGCTCGAAGAAGATCTGTCTGCGCCTTTGACTCGCTGCCTCAATTCGCAGAAGTGGTCTGAACCGCAAACGGTTTTCAGCTGCTGGATGAGCACCGTATGGTACTCGCCACATGAGACTGCCGCTCAGGGTGCACAAGAGCAGCGGCTCTTGGATTTGGCGCCGAGTCCAAGCTTGGCTGCGGCCTCACATTCTGAGAGTCTTGTGTGGGTTGACCAGGCAGTTACAGGATTGCCACGGGTTGACCACAGTTGAAGGATTGCCACGTTTTCTTGAGCGGGAAAACATGCTCATGGAAGCAAGCCGCCTGATGGCCTTCGTGACGTACGTACTGGCCAGTGTTGTGCGTTGAGCGACCTCTTGAGAGGTGCTTTTCCGGCAGGCCTGCGAAATCAAGTGGGTACAAGCACATGGTCGACATGTAAATTGATGTTTGAACCAGACCTCATAAAGCCGTGCCTGCGTCGAGCGAGTTTGCGAGTCGAAATGGAGGTTTGCTGGTACCGGGTAGCTCTCCCTGCATCGTTGCCCTGCTGCGTCATGCCGAGGACAGGATCGCAGCAGAGCAGCTTGTTCGATTGGCTCGAACCTGGTTTTTGATTTATGTCTTCGGGCAAAAGAAGGACAGATTCTCCACTTCGGATCTTGTGCCGCTGCCCGAGGAAGGCCTCCTGCAGAAGCAAGAGAAGATGCTCCCTCTCCACATGAAGGTGATCCATCAGGTGCTGGTATGCCGGTGTCTTCGTGCACTTGTAGGCAACAGTTGATGATGCCGTATCCACCTCTTTTGTTTTCTCGCATCGGTCCTGTGTTCGTGGGGTTCGCTGCCCTGTGGTTCCGTGGTCCCGTGGCGACCAAGCGCACAGGCATGCTGGATAGACTAGACATACGATATGAGCAGACGGCCTGTTTTAGTGGTCACTCTTTTGCTGTCATGCCTCCTTGGTGTTGTGCTCTACTGGTCCTCTGGTCCCATGCTTTTCTTGCATTTGGATCCTCCCTGTCATGACAGTGTATGCAGGCTCGGCGAGATTCTGAAATCCTGAAGTCGCCCCAGATCAATGTGCAGGCTGTAGCTTGAATGTGAAATCGCAGCCATTCCTATGATTTTCGTGGATGTCTCCTACATGGTTTGGTTTCGAAACCTGAGTTATTGTGATGCCTGTCGTGTGTTTTAATGCCTCGCCCGCGTTCAGGATCATGCTTCGCTAGATCTGCGGATGGTCGCCGCACAAACGGCTAATGGCTCAAGCCATCATCCGCAGTTCTGCAGCGCGACAGTTTCTTGGCCGCTAGCTACGAGTCCCTAGCCGCTGAAGCATGTCGATCGAAGCGGAGTACCTCGTTCTCGGCGCCGGCCCAGCCGGTCTCGCAGCCGCCGGATTCATTGCGAAGGCGGGCTCCAGGGTGGCCGTCTTTGAGGGCCGAGCACGGCCTGAGAACGTCTTCGGCTCCTACCCGGTGGTGCTGAATGCTCGGGGCCTCTCCGCTTTGGAGTCCCTCGATCCGGCCATCCTCGAGAAAACCAAAGAGACAGGGCTGGCAGTGAAAGAGCTGCACGTTGTGCCCGACAACAGGACCGTTGCTAAGATTCCTACCTACGGTACCTGCATCATGCGAGACCAAGCCTCCCAGTTGCTTCTGGAAGCAGCAGAGAGCAACGAGAAGATCTCTTTCTTCTGGGAGCACAAGCTCGTGAGCATTGATTTCCAGGCTCGCACCTGCACCTTCGAGCTTCCGGATGGCTCGCAGAAGACGGCAGTCGCCGAGCGCCTGGTCGCAGCGGATGGAAACCGCTCGAAGGTGCGGCGCTTGTGCCAGGAGCACGTAGCAGACTTCAGCGCAGATGCAGATGCTTGGGGCTTCCAGCTGCGCTTCATGAACTCGAAGGGTGTTCCGGGACAAACTGAGGTTAACCCGGACACTCACTTCGTCCTCGGTGACAAAGGCTATGTTTGTTTGCAGCCCAACGGCGAGTGGAGCATATCCCTCCGGGTATTGCCAGAGACTGATGAGGAGTTTCTCACAAGCATGGAAGCGACAGACGGCAACGTGCAGAAGCTGAAGGAGTATGTTCAGACCTACGCCAAGTTTGCGGCCGATAACTTGCTAGATGAGGAGGCCTATCGCAAGTTCTACGACTGCAAAGCCTTTGAAGGCGTTGTCGTCAAGTGCTCCTCCTTGAATCCAGCAGGCTGGATCTGCCTCATCGGGGATGCAGCGCATGCGGTGCAGCCAGCTACAGGCGAAGGCATCAACAGCGGCTTGGAGGATGCTGCGATGCTGGGCCTCGCTGTGAAGGAGAACGCAGAGGATGCATTTGTGGCCTTTGACAAAAAGCAACGGCCAAATGCGCACGCGCTTCAGAAACTGGCATTGGAGGCTAAGAGCCGAGTGAACTTGCCTCCTCCCCGCGAGCAGGCCGTGAATGTCATGGTGAACATTGGCCTTGCCATAGCCAGGAAGCTCCGCATCATCGAAGGCACCAGGCAAGACTTCACTCTTGGAGTAAAAGCCCAGTGTGCTGCAGTCAGGTCCTATGATGAGCTTGTGCAGATGGATGAGCGGCAGAAGGGAAAGCTTCGACCACTTGCGAATTTCCTGGCGAAAATCTTCCGAATTCCAAAAGAAAGGCGGGTGCAGACACAATCGAAGAACTGAGCTGCAGATAGAGCTCTGAGAGATTGTGGATCACCTCTGCCGAGGCTTTCGGCTGTCGCCAAGCTGATTCGTGTTTCTGCAAGTTTTGAGGTCGAATTCGAAGTTTTGCATTGGCGGGATGTGGCTTGAAGAAGCCGCACCGTCAAGCCCGTTCCGGGGTACAGTCCGGAACACTTCCAGCTCGGACACAGAAGTTGGTTCTAGGCCGATGGCCTCCATTTTCCCAGTGATTGCATCTGCTACAGCACGGCAGGGACACCACTCTGGCTGCTTGGGCCCCCGGTGTGGTGGATCTAAAATCGGAAGCAACCTACCTTTGTCAGACGCCGTCCGAGTCCCAGAGTCGAATTACCCTCACCCCTTGTTGTCTGGCAAACCGCTGCGTGCTCGTCGCTGCAGCTCTTCAAGCTCGAGCTTCTCAGCATACTATTCTCCACACTGCCTCGCTAAAGCTCGACTCTGAAACCTCAGGCTGCCCGAACACTCAAGTGCAACACTCCAAGAATCTTCCCATGCCTAGTGATGTCTCGTAGTACCTGGAAGCCCGTTGGGAGACTACCTGGTAGCGACTAGTGAAGGGTTCACGGACTTTAGAAGATACCTAGAAGCCGCCGCTTTGGGGCGTGCCCGTGGTGGATGAAGGCCGGCAGAGGGCCCTAAAACCCGGAAGCCTCGTGATCCTGGTTCAGGTCCTGAACATAACGGCCTTACGGTAACAGTTGTTGAAGACAGCAGGCTTCCACAGCACCGCTCAAGTCGAAAGGTTGAGTGTAGTTTTACGGTTCTAGTTCTAGTTCATTGCACATCAACGGAGGCTTGTGTGTGTAAAATGATCACTTAGCATTCTGAGTCCAAAGTATCTTCGAGGCTTTTGACTCGCGGATTCTTCGAGGGATGGAGGGCGGAATGCACTTAAGTTGAGTGCTTGGTTGGGCATCACACCTGCTCAGTCCATGGCCTGAACTCGCATGAGAAATGATAATTTGTCCCCACAAACATTGGCGCGGTAAGTGCCAGGCCCCAGTAACCGCACACGTTACGTACATCAGAGCGATAATAAAGTATGGTATATGCGAACATAGACTTAGCATGCCTAAGCATCGTCACATCCGCTACGAGACGCTATGCTCTTACACAGTCTGGCGCAACATTCAACAAGATGTCACATGCAAGGCAAAACGTGCGGAATAGCCAGCTATGTAGTATCGTTGTTAGACTATCTAGGATGCGGAGGGACAGAACATGGCGCTAACACAGTCGTCATTGAAATGTACTATGCAGAGGCAAGGCCGGCCTTCGCTTTCACGCCCGCAAGTCGGAAGCAGGAGCCCTCACTGCTCGGGGATGGGGTGGGCGGGGTGTTTGCATTATATGTCATTTTAGGCGACGCTTGTACCTCTTTCATCCTCGCTCTTTGTCGCTCACTCTGTCTGTTTCTCGCTCCCTCTTTCTCGCACTCTCTCTATCGACTGCAAAGGGTTTCAAGCACGAGTAAAGGCATATTACACTACATGAACCAAATATATCCAAGTATACTATAGAATCACGCGCATCTAGGAAGGCCATATGAACAGGTATGTATGCATATATATATATATATATATTTATATTTATATTTATTGTACACACGCACGCACGCACGCACGCACGCACGCACGCACGCAGCACGCACGCACGCACATACACATACACATACACATACACATACACATACACATACACATACACATACACACACACATACACACACATACACATACACATACACATACACATACATACACATACACACATACACATACACACACACATACACACACATACACACACACACACACACACACACACACACACACACGCACTTACTTCTCTGTGCGGATGCACTTATGGATAGATGGATGTAATATGCCGATGGGTGCCTATCTTCAGTCAGGTAAAAACTAGGTAGGCAATAGTGGGTAGTGGGATGTAAGTCGCGCAGGACGACGCCATGGGCTGCTGCGCCAGCCAGCCTGTAGCCGACGACCTCCGGCCACTAGGGCCAGAGGACGCAGCAAAGATCTCGAAGGACTGCTCAGAGCGCACCATTCTGTGCGCTGACGTGGGCCGTTGGTTCATCGGTTGAAGAGTTTGGGCATGGATCCGAGATCATGTCTTCACAAGTTCTGCCAACGGGTGCAGCGCATGTCTCCAAAAGAGGTGGCCTCGACCTGCGCTTCTGGCCCCGAGTTGACGGCAACTGGAGCTGCTGGAGGTCAGGGGACAGCATTTCGGCACCGATGTCCTTCAACCTGTCGCATCCGCATGTGAGTGCTTCTGCCCCGGTCGCATGCACGCCGTATGCGCCGCACGCAGGTTATGGTGCTTCTCCTCCCCAGCCACTACTTCCAGGAGAAGCAGGGGAAGTTGAACTTCCTGACAAGGCGGGTATTCGGCGGGGGGTAAGTGTGTGCGTGAACTGTCCTCGCTCATGGGCTAAGGGAGGTCGTGATGTGCATATTTTGCTTGCTTGCAGTTTTCATAATCAGGGGGCAGTGCAAGCCTGGGAGTCACTGCCCCACGAAGACACTGCCACCGCAGGGTGACACCTGCCCTGATCAGACAGACGTATCTGCCGTGATGGTTCCAACGTAACCACATCTAGAATCTAGAATCCTCGCTGCACATTGTCTGTCATCGCTGCTGGTGCATCAAACACTTCTCGCAGCAGCCTCATGTCAGTGATTGCACATGCAGGGACAGCCAGCTATTTCCAGCTTGCCGAGGGTTACATGTTTTCATGCAGGGTTGCAATAATCTCAGCTGCCTTCCCACAGGCAGCCAGGCATGCCGCAGAGCAAAAAAGCAAGTTGTGAATAATTCACGCCAACCATGACATCCTTTGAGAAAGTGTGAGTTCCTGTGTGCCTCTCTCAAGGCGTGTGTCTGTGTGCGTGTGTGTGTGTGTGTTCTTGTTTTCTGCATTTTGTATTCTGTATCCGCGAGAAGTTTCGCAAGCACGTAGCGCAATGCATGGTTCTACTTTCCGAATTTCGGTTTGCCTAGCTGCGGAGGACGTCACGGAAGACTTGGACGGTGATGTGCCGGAGCTGGACAAAAAGCCACAGGAGGTTGGACGGGAGCAGACCAAGTCTTGCACGTTCGTCGCATTTTGGGTAGTGCAAAGGTGAGCCCAGCTGCATCACCTGTGGATGAGGCCGGGCATCGGAAATGGTAACCCATTCAAGCTCATCTGCCGGATGGAAAGGTACGCAAAGACTGCTCCTGGCATGAGTCGGCGGCATCAGGAGACGTGCCCACCTTGGCCTGGCATTTGGCCCAGGCTGCCGAGAGTTGCCCGGCATAAAGAGGTGACAAAGCAGCACCATTCTCATCGGTGACACAGCAGCACACCGCCAGCCATACAAGACCCGGAAAGTGAGGCAGTCAGCGGCTGCAAGACTGTACAGAAGACACTTGGAATTCGTTGGCAAATACTGGTGATGTCGCCTCAGATCCTTGGGCGTGGAGCGTGGTAGCAACTGTGCGAGGACCGAGCGACTGCGCTCCACTTGGCCGCCGCCGGTGGACACGTCCATGCGTGTGCATGGCTTTTGAAAGCAGCGGCAGATCCAGCTGCACTGACAAAGACGAGACTAGGCAAAGGTTCTGGTACAGGCAGTGTTGGCCATCATCATGAGGGAGTCTTTGAACTTTGTTCAGTGTTTGAGTGCCAAGGAAGGCTACGCCGCTGCACCTTGCTGCCCACGGTGGCCACTTGGACGTGGCGAAGCTTTTGTTGGAGCCAGCCGCTTGCATGCATAGCAGCCTCTGGTGAAAAAACATCAATCGCTGGTAATGTTGATCGTGATAGTTGTGCCCGCAGAAGGAGCTGTTCGACGTTGAGTGTGGCGACACGTGGCCAGATGTATCCAGCCACGACACTTGACTTTTGGGATCATGCATGCATACGATTACGGCTGAATCGTAGTGGCCATGGAGCGTGGCTTGCGTCAGTTGTTGGAGCAGGCTTCTGTGCTGTGCCCTCTGTACCGCCAGCACCCCACAGCTTCTTTCAGGATCTCTGGCGGTGCACCCCTCTCCACCGCGCAGCCGAAACTGGTGCCACGGAGGTCGCCCGGGCTCCAGGATGCTGTGAGCTTCTGGTGCCGGTGCTGACACGTGGCCGCTGCCAGGTGGCACTCTTCTTGCTGGAGAAGAGGGCATCTGCTGAGAAGGTGTCGCTTTCGCCACCAAGTCATCCAGGTCCGTGTTCATAGCAATATTGGCTGAAACTTGGGTGCAGGCTGATCGCGAGGGCAACACGCCCTTGCACAAGGCAGCCTACTCTGGCCGCTTGCTTTTGATTTACAAGAACGAATTGCCAGTCTTCCATAGAACCTGCTGCATTGACACTTGCTCGATTGAGACTATCCAGTTCTGATCGGCCACCTGGTCCGGCTCAGGTTGTGGCCCCCTGGTGCAGTTGCTCACCAAGCAAGCTAAAGTCCAGCTGGATTTCACGAACAATGATGGTGATCCTGGCTGCATCCAGCATGCCCGCAAGCTGTGAGCAACGTGGCTCCATGCACGACGTCAGTTTGAGTTGCCACGACACGAGGTTTCTCTCCGCTGGACATTTGCGTGCGGGACAAGCGGCCTGCTGCCGGAGATGTGCTGGTCTCGGCAGGGGCCAAGTTGGTGAAGGACCCCGGTTGCAGGATGTTGAGGCACAAGCTCACAACGTCGAAAGTGCAGTCTGAGATCCGGGAGAGCTAGACTTGTGACTTGAGTGCCAGTCCCAGCCATGTTTGGATACTCCAAGCTCGGGACTTGCGTTGGCAACACCAGTTCTGGTAGTTATGCTGCTGTGGAAGCATGACCGGGATTTCCGTCATCCGCGATTTTATCAGCGTTGCACCACGAAGTCATACCAAGTCGTACCAAGTCGCTACTCGCGGAGATGCCGAGGACGCACGGAAATCTCCGCCAACACTCCTGACTGCCGCATGCTCCGGGCT